ATATATATATATATATATATATATATATATATATATATATAACATTAAAGTTGTCGTTGGCATCTATCCGTTGCTGCAACGGCAACTTGGGAAATAATGGCCCACTAGTTTCAAAACCAGTGAGAAATTATTTTCTCACTGGTTTGAGACCAGTGAGAAAATCAAACCAGTGCAAAATAAGAATAAGTAGAAATAAGGCATACTACATTAACATTAAAATTACTTAAACAACAACATTAGCCTACTTAAACAACAACATTACAAATACAAAAATTGAACATTGGCATACTTAAAACAATATAAATAAAAATCTAGGACCGTTTTCCATTTTGCCGACGTTTCCTAACTTCATTACAATATTCTAAGTGGTCCGCAAGTTGCTGCTCCGTCATGTTTGATGTATCTTTCATTAATATTTTATATTCCTTCATTTCCATTTTTCTATCATCACTTTCCATCTTCCTTTCATCGCTTTCCTTTCTTATTTGCCGATATTTTTCCATCATTTCGCCTAGATTGTCAAATGATCCATGAACATCTTCAACATGATGGTCATTGGAGTAGCGTTCTTGTGATTTTCGTTTCGCTGCTTTTTTCCCTATTGGTCTAGGGAAAACTCCTCCGCTGCCACTTGCGGTACCTGCTACACTGCCACTAGAAGTTTGATTACCGGATGACATACCTAAGGAGAATTGACGCTCGAAAACTTGGGGCTGCCAACTTGGAAGATCTTTCACAATGGCCCAAACGTGTTCCTAGCCAAATTTATCACGACCATGTTTGTGTTTATATTCTTCCAAGGCAAGCACAACAATATCGGCATCGTTGGCACCACTAGGCCGCATTCCTAGTAACTTACAATAAATTGCATGAAAATCCCTGGTTATGCCTGAAATATGACCCCAATGCGCCTTTAATTTTTTACTCGTTCTCCTTGGGCCACCGTTGGGGTGATTGTTGTTGTAATATGCTTCAATGCGGTTCCAAAATGTGTCACCCTTTTGCTCATTGACCCTACTTGAATCTTGTCCGATTGTGGAATAAGCACGTGTCAACATTTTGTCATCCTCGACATTCCATACTTGTCGACGACTCTCCGAATTTTTTGGTGGTGGAGTAATTGTTACTTCATTTTCGCTTTGTGTAGGAAAAGGCGAAAATTGAGTAAATTGTAAATTACCCGGAATTTGGCCGCTTGGTATGTTGATAGGAAATTGAGAAGACCCCGCACATGGAGTGTTTTGAAATATAGGTGGAAATGAAGAAAATTGAAGATTACCCGGAAGTTGGGCATTTTGTGGAAATTGAGAGTTTTGTAAAAATTGAAAATTTTGTGGAAATTGAAAATTTGTTTGAAATTGAGAATTTTGGGAAGATGGTTGAGAAAAAGGAAAATTAGATTGTGAATTTTGATTGGAAGTATTGTCTTTTTCCATTATGATAAAAGAAATTGGGTAGAAATTGAGAGAATAGTAGAAATAAATTGAGAGTGGGATAAAATGTAAAAAAAATTGCGAAGACATGTGGTATATATATATATATATATATATATATATATATATATATATATATATATATATATATATATATTAAGTATCCGTTGCCAGCAACGGCCGGAAATGTGACCGTTGCTGGCAACGGATACAATTCTGGCTGTTGCTCGTCCAGCAACAGCCAGATTTGTATTCAATTGAGCTGGCGGCCACTCTCAATCGTCCGGGCGCGTGTCGCACACGCGCCCGCTGGGTGGTCAGTGAGACGCAATTGCGTCTCACTGCTTTATTTATTTATTTTTTTTAATATTTCTGACATTATGCCTTCATTTGCAGGACAACTATTTTTGAATTATCTTCACCCCACATTAGCTATTAACTCTAGTTGGAAAGAATTCAAACTGAAATAACTCCATATTATCCACTAGTGTGGATGCTCTAAGAGTAACGACGGCTTCCAGTAGAAGCTGTGAGAAACAGAGACAAGCGACATCTACCCACGAAAGAGAATAGAGCTAGGCGAGACACTCCAGCAGTCCGGTGACCTTTGGCAACTCGCAGCGGCGACGGTCGGCATCCGGCAGTAGCAGAAAAAAAAAAAAAACAAGAAGAAAACAAGGCTCCATTGATAAGCTTCAATCTATCTCCAGTAGCGAACTCCGGCTGCAAAGCACCTACGGCGCAACCTTCGGCAACGACGAAACTCCGGCAATCGTTGGTCGTTGACCGGTGACTTCTACAAAAAAAAAAATAAATAAATAAATAAAAATAAAAAAAAAACAGAGAACTCCGGCGAAGGAGCTGAGCGGCATCAACAGTTTTGCGACGGACTTCGGCCAAGACAGCGATGAACCTCTCACGACAGTATAAAAAAAACATAAAAACTCTCCGTCGAAGCGTAGCAGCGAGCCTCCTACGACAGTAAAAAAAAACAAGAGGAAAAGGCAGTCCGGCGGTCTTCATCAACTCCGACGGTCTCCAGCGACTTCAAAAAAGAAAACAAAAACAAAAAATTCCAATGGGCAGCTCCAGCAATCTCCGGTGATCGTTCTACTTGCTGGCACCTTTCACGTTGCTTCTTGTTCTATGAAGTCTGCGGGACTGCTTCCTACATTTATGTTTGTTTTGGAATTAATGCCTAATCTTATCGCAGTTTGACTGGGACTTAATCCAATGAAATTTTGAACAATGGGCTTATCAAGCAAATGGACCTGAACATGAATCATGGATGCATTCTACGGAAATGTTCTAATTAAAGTTTGATATATTATTCTGGCCTGTTAGTTGAGGGCATATCGAAATTTTAAATTTTCGAGACCTTCTCATTCCAAGCATTATAAGTAGGATGTTTCGGCAAGTCTCGAGGGGGCAATTATTAAAATCTGTAAACACAAAAAGTAAACTTTTTATATATTCCACAAAATTCCTTGTACAGTGTATGTATAATTCAATATGCAGGTACAAAATCTCTGTCTAGTCATCTGATTCTTCACTGATGTTATCTATTGAAGTGCCTCCGAGATTCAAATAGCGTAGCCTCCGGGATTCAAGTGGCGTAGCTTCCGGGATTCAATTGGCGTGACTATCAACAACGAACATCAAGAATTTAGAAATAATCACACCTGCAAAGTTTCAAAACACATGCAATGGATTCAAGCTGCCTTAAGGTCCTCAAATGCTTTCAAAAGACTTCAAGATCTTCGAGACAATCGATTCTGCAAAGCTCCAAAGTACCTGCAATGGATTCAAATTGCCTGCAAAATCAACAAAAATGCCTTCAAATCTTCAAGCGTTCTTCAATGCCTTCAAGCTCTTCAAATGCTCTCAATTCCTCTAAGTCTTCAAGCTGCTCAATGCCTTCAAACTCTCAAGCCTTCAAGTGTGTTTTGGAATGAAAACGAAGGCTCTATTTATACTAGAAGCCTAACCAACTTTCCTCAACAAACTCCTCCTTTAATTAATTAATTAATTATTCTAAAAAATGAACCTTGCCCAGAATCAAGTCTAGGTTCATTATTGTATAATCTAATTCAAATTCAAATTAAATTATAATTATCTAATTCAAATATAATAAAATATTATATTTAAATTATAATCATAATTTATAATTCAAATTCAAATATGAAATGGGCTTAGGCCAATTAATTAATTAATTCAATAGCCCAAATCAAATTCTAATTGGGCTAATTAAATTAAATTAATTTATATGATCCAATTAATTAAATTGGCCCAACATTTAACCTCAACGTCGGTTCACCGACCATTTATCAGTCCATCTGTTGGATTCAAATTTTCTGTTTCTACAAATATATATATATATATATATATATATATATATATATATACATACATACATACATACATACATATATATATATATATATATATATATATATATATATATATATATATATATATATATAGAAGAGCGCTCATATATGGTCATGTCATTAGGTGTGGCGGTGTGGTCGTATCTGTGTCGTTGAATCAGTTTTGAAGATTTGAGGATTTTCGCGTGTTTTGGTAAGTGGGAGTATTATGGTAATTACTGTAGCCATTTATAGCGGCCGAGTTCTAGAATACACTAATAACAGTGTTGACAACATGCACCAATAGTGTAATAAAACACACCACATTGCGAAAACTGTATGGTGTATTTATTCATATCTAATGACGCGTTTTTGGTGATGCGTACCTAATTTGTGTATGTTTTTGCTGTGCATTTCATAACATGGATGGTGTATATTTGTATAACAATTGGTGCCGCCGCACTGACCACATGGGAAGGCGTTGTCGCACATGAACTTGGCACCAATGGGAATCTACAAATACACCAGAGTATGACTAATAATGCACCAATTACACAAATAAAACACACAACAATGTGATTTCCCTTATTCCGGTGCCCTATGACGAGTTTACCCTTGCAGTTCGCTGGGTAGGAGAATGTGCGCGAAAATACTAGAAGAATCTTGATTATGTGATTCATTGGATCTATCGAATCTAATGGTCTGTAATTGACCATATGACTACACCTAACAACATGGCTGCACTTGATCGTCCCTCTATATATATATATATATATATATATATATATATATATATATATATATATATATATATATATATATATATATATATATATATATATAAAAGGTGTTAGGACTTAGGACTCTATGTATTTGAGTCAGTCTATGACTCTCTATCCTAGTCTCCTTATGATTCTTCTTGTTTATATACTTATGATCTGTACTTTTGTAATTACATTCATTCAATACAATTATATCAGTTCTCATCTGGTATCGGTTAAGCTAGGGTTTCTTTCCTATGACTGATGGATCTGTTGACTCCTCAGAACGGACTGTCTCGAATGTTGATATTTCTTCGGTCACATCGACCGTGAATTCCTTGTCCACCACTCATCACTTTATCAGTATCCAATTGACCTAGAAGAATTTCTTGTTTTGGAGAGCTCAAGTTGTTCCTTTTCTTGATGGTCACGATTAGATGGGGTTCAATGATGGTTCGAACCCATGTCCGCCGGCTTATCTCCTCGCTGAAGAAGGTATGCCGACACAGTCGAAACCCGCCCATAGAGCTTGGGTTCGGCAAGATCAGGCTCTCTTGTCCATGGTCATGTCCTCGCTGTTTGACGAGGTGATGTCGTTGGCCATCGGACACCACACCAGCCGGTCTATTTTGCAGGCAGTCGTCAATGCGTTGGCTTCGTCGTCCAGGTCTCGGTCCTTGAATCTCCTAGGGCAGTTACAGTCTCTTCACCAAGGAGACAGATCGGTCGCGGACTACATTAGCAAGGCTTGGGTCTTGGTGGAAGACCTCACCCTCGCTGGCCGGTCGATTACCCTTGAGGAGCAGAACCTCTACGTTCTCAAGGGTTTACAACCGGAATTTCGCTCTCTAGCATCCTCCCTTAATATACGTGGACAACCAGTTACGCTCCAGGAGCTTGCTGACCTCCTAGGCACGGAGGAGTTCCTTTCGGGCGGCGAAGCTGGAGGTGGTTCGCCGACTGCTTTTACGGTGCAGCGGGGCAGACAAAAACGTGGTCGGGGTGGCCAATCGCGTAGAGGAGGTGGCAGTGGCGGTGGCCGAAATTGCGGCGACAGGAATGGTAACTGGAAGAATTTGGTTAGCATATGGACCTGATTTATCTCAAGTCAGTGAAACCATCAAATGGTTAGCATATGGACCTGATTTGTTTTTGAGCTGTTATAACTTTTATGACAAATGGATATACATTTTACACCAAGCGACAAGTTGAAAAGAGTGTGGTGCAAAATAGCGGGGGTTACACAAGTAGCATTATCAAAAGATTATTCAAGTGCTAAGGATACTAAACCGATTGATGCTGCTATGTCTTATTATGGTGTGATTGAAGAAATTTGGGAACTTGATTACAAAGTGTTTGAAATTCCTCTACTCTAATGTAGTTGGGTTGATAATAGAAGAGGCGTTTGGATATATTAATTGGGTTTTACTTTGATTGATTTTGAACGGTTGGGCTATCATGATGAACCATTCATACTTGCATCTCACGCAGAACAAGTGTTTTATGTTTCTGATCCTGTTGATAATAAGTGGTCAATTGTGTTACAAAGCAAAAGATCTATTGTTGGTGTTGGTGATGTTGTGGATGAAGAAGAGTATGATCATTTTGATGAAACTCCTCCATTTTCTATTGGTGTTCAGTCTTTACCTTTAGAAGAAGATAACTTTGAAATAAGTTACATGCGTAGCAATCATGAAGAAGGATTGTGGGTTTATAATAGGACATCATAATCTTTTATTGTAAGCTTTTTATAAATTGTTAACTAATTCTTAGGAGTATTTTATTTGAGTTAAAATGCAATATAACATGTTTACTAATAATATTTTTTTTGTTTGTGCAGGTATATATAGATAATCATGCCTGATCAATCTACATTTACTGGCACTACTTCAGATCCTCCTACTTAAGCAACTGAACGCAAAAAAAAAAAAAAAAAAAAAAAAAAGGCCTACAACATGCAAAAAATTGAAAAAAAAAAATTAAAAAAGAAGGCTTCAAAACTTTCAATTCAGTTTGATGAGAGTGGTAGGGTAACCGAAGAACATTCTGCGAAGTTTGCTGCGTACATTGAAACTTTGGTTCGTTCTCGTGTTGATATCAATTTCAAGAGTTGGCGTCATGTAGAACAAAATCTTAAAGATACCATTTGGCGTCATGCACAAGCGTTAAATGAGCATCCACACTTCTTAGGTTCTAGTGGATATGCAAGGAGACGACAATAGTGGATGAATTCAGACCCTCTATCTTCACAATCTTCGTGTACGTCAGTTGGCTCGTCTTTGATGTCCGACGATTGCAGCTTTGATTGGATACGAGCAAGAACCAAAAAAAAAAAAAACAGATGATGGAAGTTACTTTATTCCAAATGAAAAAACACATGAAGTGTTTTATAAAATTGTAAGTATTATTTTTTTTTTCAAAAAATGTCTTAATAATAAAAAATATTTATAAAAATACTAATACTTGACTTATTTTATTTGTTGGAACAGATAGAAAAATGTGAAGAAATTGATCAAGGGAAATTTGAACCCAAAAAAAAACCATGACATATTGTTAGTAGTATAGTTCTTGGAAAGGATGATCATTCAGGTTCTGTAAGAGCAGTTAATACATACTCTACCATCCAATGAGTGTTTTGTATACTAGATCAGAAACAAAGCACATCGAGTGGGGTTCACACAGAAGCTGTTGTCAAACAAATGTTAGAGAAATGCAGGCAAGATACAATAATGGAGGTGGAAGCACAGATGAAACCCAGGATTGATACAATGGACCAGCAACTCAAGTTTCTAATGAAGAACATATTGGGGACACATCTATTTTCAGAAGGGGTCTCGGCTGGAACTCCTCAAAGTGATCCACCGCTTAGTGATCCACCACCTACTCGTAGCAGTTGTCATTCAGTTGACACATATCCAGTTACAACAAATATATCAAAATATTATTCTTGTTAGATTAAGATTAACACACAATTTTGAATAATAGAGTCCAAAAAGGTGTTCACTAGCGTATGCCCAGATGGCAAACCAATTGTAGTTGCAAAGGGTATGGCTCACCCAAGTACTGAGGAGACTATGGTGAATCACCGACCCTTGTTCCGTAACTGTGTCAAAGTTTGGGTGGATGAAGTGATTGAGGGTAGAGAAAAATTTAATCTCCCCATACCAGGTCAGCAGTATATCACTATAGCAGATATAGTAGGCAATTTTGCACAATGACCTATTCATTTAGTGAGTTTAGAAGAGGTATGCATTCTTTTATTTATTTATTAAGTTAGTTTTCGTTGTTTATATTTAAAAGGGGCTAGTAAAATTACAATTTTATATTTGTAGAGTTTATCAAAACAAAATAAGAAACCAAAAGATCAAAGTGCTGATCTATCTACTACTGGTGCACGAGCTGTCGAGCTCCCATTGTTGGTGATGATGTCTTACAGCACTTGGGGGACAAGTGCAAGTGTCTAGTGAATTTGTTGACAAACTTTCTACTTGGTAAAGACTATATTGAGTAGGAGATAGATAAAGCAATCTTCCATCATAAAAACACGAGTTCTATTTTTGTGATTATGAATGATATAAAGGATTTGATGATGATGAATTGGCTTAATGTCTCAATCATACAAGTGTTTATACTGTAATTTTTTTTTAATTATTATTGTATTATATATATATGTTTACTTATATTTAGTGAAATTTCTTATTAATTATTTCTTAATTTTCAGATTTCTTAATCAGTTGTGCAATCAGTTTAAAGTCAAGTCAATCGGGTTTGTCTGTCCGACATAGATTTCCAACACTATGCTTAAAAACGGTGCCTCCAGTGTTACATCATATTTCATCCACGTCATGGACCAGAACAAAGATAAAAAATTTATTTTAGCACCATATCATCAAGAGTAAGAAAATTGTTCTTTTATTTTATTAATATAACTTAATAACTTTATATTTGAACTTTGAAGTATTAGATATTAAATTTTTAATATGTATTTGTGTTTTTTAAATGTATATTTCATTGGTTACTTTTGGTGATTTGCGTACGGTCAAAAAGCGTATGTGTCTTGGATTCGTTGCCTTCTTATCACGACATATGTTTAATTAAAGCTTCTGTAATTTGTAAGTAAATACCTTATTATTTATATAAGTATTTTAGCTTCTATTCTATTATTTATAAATTTTTATGTACGTTTATAATTTATATATAGGGCATTTCGCTCTTTTACTATGAGTGGATTGATTAGGAACATCAATTGGAAGCCATGCAAAGTATGTATGAAAATTGAATTTAAGTTTTAGTGTGATATTTTGAATTACAATAAATTGTTTAAATTACTAAAATAATATATGTATTTTTTAGTGCCGGAGACAACCAGGATTTTATGAGTGTGGATATTATGTCATGCGATACATGTTTGATATCGTGACAAAATATTCATCTGTTGATGATTTGGATAGGGTAAGTGGATTTAAATAAAACTATATATAGTTAAGTTATATTTTATTAATTAATATATTTAATAATTTTATTAATTAAATTTTTTGTAGGCATTTGAAAGCGATAGTCTGTATTCTATCAACGACATAAATGAGATTCGAGAGAAATGGTCAAAGTACTTCTTTTCCGGGTGCTTCTGACTTTTGTTTTATTGATAAAAATATTTTGTTTTGATGATAGTATTGAGTTGTGCATGTTTTTATGATATTGTTGTATTAAAGTATGAGGATTTTAAGTATTATTCTGTTTTGATGATAGTATTGTGTTAAAGTGCATTTGATGATATAAAGTATTGTGTTAAAGTGTTTTGACGATAGTATTGTTTTAAAGTGTGTTGGTAGATAAATTGTATTGTGGAGTAATGGATTTTAAGCTGTAACAGGTACAGGAATTATAAAAAAAATTAGGGATTTTAATTAATTAAAATTAATTGAATATTTAAAAAAAAAAAAGTCATCGGCAACTATTCTTAAGCTAGAAGCGGATTGCTGATTTTAAAAAATAAAAATAAAAAACAAAAACTCGCCTGTTCCTAGCCTAGAATAGTCGCGTATCACCTTCGAAAAAAAAAAAAAAAAAAAAAACAAGAAATGGAATATGCGACTATTCTCAGTGAAGAATGGTCGCGTATTACTGACATTACGCGACTGTTACACAATGGTCGCATTTTGTTCAAGCGACCATGACATACGCGACTGTTGTACAACAGTTGCCTAATGTCTTTTACAATTGCCTACCTGCAGTTTTCCGTAATAAATTGAGGCCCTATAATTTCTTTCTTGGTTTTTACACGAACATATATTAATTAATGAGATTCAACAAGAGCTAACCTAAAAGGTAAATCGTCGTCTAATTGAATAGGTTTTGAAAGAGAGAAATAACTTTTTATTTTTATTGATTGAAGTCATATAGGGGACTATCTGTGAAAAATTAAAATTTAATTTCCATATTCTATTTTATAAATTCCAAAATAATTATTTTTACTCCTTCGAAATTTTTTTCTAAAACAGGTGTATGGATTAAATATTTTAAACCATGATTTTTATTAATTCAGCACCAAGTAGTAGCATATTTCGAAAATCCTAAGTATTGAGTACACTTATGTATCAAGTTTTGACCCAAAAAGTCAATCTGAGATAAACCTGAGAAACCCAAGTCAAATGTTTTTACTTGAAAACATCCTTTAAGAAATCTACTTTATTTCCTAAGTTGATTAAAACTATTTCATTACCTAGCTTGACTTTGAGTGAGAAACCTGAGAATTTCAAAAAGCCAAATAACCAAACTATCATTCTCAGCAAAATATCTCACCTAGGGTTTCGTACCCTATTTAAATAACACTATTCACTCCTGAGAACTTGATCCCTCCCTTTTGCCTCCTTCATTCTAAGTTGTAGAAATCAGCTAGCAGAGAAGGAAGAATCACAGTAAGTTTTCCTCCATCCATTTCATCTTTCTTCACTCAATTCCATCTCCTGACACTCTGTTTCCATCCATTCTCTTCATCTCTTTCATCCTTCACTGTGATTGAGTTTGTTATGGGTGTTGCTTGTATTTTTGGTTGTCTGAGAAAATAGGAGGTGAGGGTGGAAATCTCTGTTGAAGAAGAAGAGGGATCCACACTAGAGAAAGCCAAGCTCATAGGTATAAACCATGGATTCCCAAAGCTATTATTTTGGCCTGTTAAGTTAGATTTCTTGAGATTAGATGCTTAGAAATGTTTGAGAATACTTGTTGATGAGTTTATTGTGTATTGTTGATGTTATATGTTTCATTCATGGTTGTCTGGAAGTGTTTGTTTGAGCTCTAAGTTGAGAAATTTGGAGAAGAAGACATCTCGTGCACAGAGGTGCACACAGGATGGTGGACCAGGTTGGCCTTGCGGCCCTAGCCAACGGACCTAGGAGAGATCCGTTGGCTAGACCCGTGAGCCAACGGACCTGAGTGACGGATCCCAGTGAGATCCGTCACTCTAGGTCGTTGCTTGGCAGAGCCAAGTGATGGGGCTTCTCAAGCCCCGTCACCTAGATCCTTCAAGCCAAAGTAGAAGAGGGTCGGGCCCTTTGAGGCTCAGCTATGTGTTGTTTCGGACAGGGATTCGTGGGCCCGTGAGGCTTGGACACTCGGGCTCGTAACGACGCGCTAGTTTGAGTTGTATGTGTTTGATTTTTGAGTAAAAGCATATCTAGAAGTCAAGTATGAAAGTTGGCCTCTGTGCAATTGTTTGACTTTGAATTCAAGTATGAGAAGAAAAATGCTAGCATCTGTTTACCAGAATGTTTGAGTAGTTTTTACTAATTGCATTGTTTAACTCTTGAGTAGATTGATTGTTGAGATTATTGAGATTTCTTGCATAAGTCAGTGTTATGCCAAGCTTTACAGTGAAAAGGATATTTGTGCCATATTTAAAGATTAAGTACAGTAAAGGCTCAAAGTGAGGCCTAAGTTATTTTCAAAACCTTATATCTACTGTGGAAAATCTATATCTATATGTGCATTGAGAAGCTTTCATGATAAATAGATTTTCAAAATGAAAAAGTGAAGTTATATGAGATATTTATGTGCATTGAGAAGCTTGCATGATAAATTGATTTCCATTATGAGAAAGAAAAGTTTTAAGAGATATATGTGCATTGAGAAGGTTGCATGATATCTAGATTACCAGCATGAGAAAAAGAAGTTGCATGTGATATATATGCTATTATATAAAGTGAGAAAAATCTATGTTTTGGAGGTTCCCGTTAGGACTATGTCCTTTCAGAAGAAAAAAGAAAGAAAGAAGTTATGAGAAAGGAAAGAAACAGTCACAGAGGACCGACAGTTTATTATAGAAGTAACTTGGAAGATCAATCCCGAGTTGCTAGGTTCGATACTACCCGCTAGGCTTGGAATCCTAGTTAAGGGGTGTGTGCACTGAAAGTACGTTACCTGATTCTACAGAGTTATAAAAACCACGAGTACCGGTTCTGTGGGCGAGATGAGTATTAGGCCGGCTAGATTGCCGAGCCCGAATAGGTCCATTTACGATTCGTAAAGTTCCTATCTCCCCCCACGAGTTAAAGAAAGAAAGAAAGAAAGAAGAGAAAAGCGAGTCAAGTGACTCAACAGAGATCCTCCACAGAAAAAGTATTTCTTTTTAAATAAAGAGCGAGAGTACAAGTATATATTTATAGCATCATATCCTTATTTATATCATGTTATTCTGTCTCTTTAGATTTATCATATGTTGGTTTACTATTAAAGCAATGTCGTGTACTTGCTCGTGACATTGGTGATGTTGTTGTCAACCATGTCTGTAGGTCAACGAACCATGTTGCTCACGTTCTCGCGCAGGCGGCAGTTTCATCTTCTGTCCTTGATGTGTGGGATATTATTCAACCCAGTTGTATTTGTGATTTGTTATGATGAATGGAGTTTGGTTGGTTAAAAAAAAAAAAAAAAAAAAAAAAAAAAACAAGAATGATAATATATTCATATTTTTGAATTTTAAAATAAAATTGCCAAATAAAAGGACATGTGTTTTAACAATCAAATCATCCTCCCAGAATGATAATGCAATTAAATTCAACATTTTTTACCAGTTCGGTTTCCTCTCGCTGATTCGCGAGTTTTGTCTTTTCTCTCTCTTCCGTTTTTGAGAGTTTTTAGGGTTTCTGTCTTAAGCCACCGTTTCTTCTTCCTCGACGGCGACTGCATGGCGTCTTCTAGCATGATCAACGCTCTAGCTGACCTCACCCTGGTGGATCTGGATGATAATGAGGATGTACACCAGTTCACGAATGTGCCCATCAACCCTGGTAGTAATCAAGTGGAATATTATGTTGTGGGAAGACTGGTTGCAGATCGTCCAGTCAAATTCCAGTTTTTCAGAGATACAATATCACAAATTTGGAGGCCATCCATGGGGATGAATGTAAGCGAACTTAAATCTCGTGTGTATCTTTTTCGGTTTTTTGATGAGTTTGATGTCCAACGTGTGATTGATAATGGACCGTGGACATATGAACAACATTTGCTTCTTCTGCGTCGGGTTGCACCTGGTGAGGATCCAGAGTCTGTCTCTCTCACTATGGCAGAGTTCTGGGTTCAGGTCCATGGCTTGCCGATTGGTTTCCGATCGGAAGGGGTGTTAGAAGCAGTTGGAAGGACAATTGGCACGCTAGTAAAGCATGATGAGAGAAATTTCGACGGAACTATGCGCTCCTATTTCAGAATACGAGTTCAGTTTGATGTTTCTCGTCCTCTAAAGAAGGGGATGAAGCTTAAAAAGTGTTCTAATGAGTGGGCTACGATTGACTTTCGATACGAGCGTCTGCCAATGTTTTGCTTTCTTTGTGGTGTCATTGGACATGGGGATCGTTTTTGTGTGAAGGCTCGTCACTATCAGAATCATCAGGGCGACAAACCGTATGGGGCTTGGTTGAGGGCTGGTTCTCGGAGACAGGTGACTAATGATAATCAGTGGCTTGCTCCGGAGGTGACGGCGGATCGGGAGAAGTGGACGGCTCCTGGATCGTCCAAAATCATTGCTGCTGGCGGTATTAGTGCACGACCTGTGACGTCTGATGCTGCTACTCATGTTCATGCCACTACACCCTCCCCAATGGTTATCTCTAACGATACCAATACAATGCCTGTTTCGTCAACTTTCTCTCTGAATATCAACACGGCTTCAGACAATAATGACGAGGTTACTGTTGTCGACCAAAAGAGAAGGCGAACTGAAATGGAAGGCAATAATGATGACTGCTCACTTATGCTTCTGGAAGATAACCAGTCAAAAAACTTGCTATTGGCGGGTTCTGGAGATGGCCAGACCCGCCCGACACAATGAGTACCTTGAGTTGGAACTGTCGTGGATTGGGCAATCCACGTACAGTTCGAGAAGTCTTGGCACTTGAGGCCAAGTTGAAGCCTATGTTCATTTTCTTGATGGAGACAAAAGTTCGACGGAAACATGCTGAGCAACTGCGACGTAAGTTACAATTTGATGGTTTATTTTATGTTGATGGAGGAGGAAGTAAAGGGGGTTTAGCGTTACTGTGGAGAGACAAAGATATTGCCAACATTATTAGTTTTTCAAAAAATCACATTAACATTCAAGTAAGGCTACCTGGTAGCCATGCTTGGAGGTTGACGGGTTTTTATGGATTTCCTGAAAGAAGTAGAAGGCAGCAGTCGTGGGATTTATTACGTTCACTTTTACCAAAGTTTTCCCTCCCGTGGCTTGTCATGGGTGATTTTAATGATATTATGGCCCCTTGCGAGAAGCGTGGAAGGCATCCCCATCCCCCGGCTTTAATGGAGGGTCTCAATCGTGCATTGGAGGATTGCCACCTTTTTGATTTAGGTATGAAGGGGAGGAAATTTACTTGGGAACGAGGTAAAGGAACGGAGAATTGGGTAGAGGAACGGCTTGATAGGGCAGTGGCGGGAGTGGATTGGTGCTCTATGTTTCCTCAAGCTGTGGTTCGAAATCTAGATGTTATTACCTCTGACCATACGGCACTCTTTTTAGAGTTGGAGGGCCCTAGACTAGGTCGACAGCGGAGAAGGTTTTTATTTGAGAATGCATGGCTCAAAGATGTGGGCTGTAAGGATATTGTTCTCAGGTCCTGGAATGAATCCATAGGTGATGCACTACCTACACGACTGGATCTTTGTGGAGCGTCATTAAAGCAGTGGGGAGGCAGTTTAGTACAAAGAATTGATAAGGAAATTGCTCAATTACAAATTTGCCTTTCTGGATTAAGAGAGCAACGTGATGAGGCCTCCATGCTCCGTTTTCGTGAATTGACGGCAAAATTGAATTTACTATATGATCAACAGCAATCCATATGGCGTCAAAGAGCAAAACAATACTGGTTAAAACAAGGAGATAGGAACACCAAATATTTTCACCAGTATGCCTCATCGCGCAAACGGAAAAATACGATTACCAAGCTCAAAAATGAAAATGATGATTTTGTTGAGGGTCAGGCACTGTTGGATTTGATTTCAAGGTATTATAATGACATCTTCACTTCTAGAGGTGTGGCTATTAATTCTTTATTGGATAATCTCTCCCCAAGAATTTCAGATTTGGATAATGAACTGTTGTTACGACCTTTTACGGCTGATGATGTCAAAGATTCACTATTCTCTATGGCCCCGGATAAATCCCCTGGTCCGGATGGTTTTAGTCCGGCCTTTTTTCAGCACTTTTGGAAGGAGATTGGAGAGGATGTGGTTCACTTTATTCTAGGTTGTGTAAATGGAGGAATATGGCCGACTGGAATGAATGATGCCTATGTTACCCTAATCCCAAAGAAGGTAGTACCGACATATATGGGTGATTTACGGCCGATTGCCTTATGCAATGTTACTTATAAGATCTTATCTAAGATGTTGGCTAACAGGTTTAAAGAAGTATTGGATAAAGTGATTTCAGCTCCTCAGAGTGCTTTTATCCCCGGGCGACTTATCACTGATAATGTTCTTATAGCGTCGGAGGTTATTCATTTTCTTAACCGAAAACGTGAAGGAAATACCGGTTGGTGTGCTCTAAAGCTTGACATGGCAAAAGCTTTTGATAAGATGGAGTGGCATTTCCTTGAGAACATGATGGTTCGGTTGGGGTTTGATCAAAGGTGGATTTCCCTTATTATGCACTGTGTTACGACGGTCCGGTATAAGGTTGGTTTAAATGGCTTTCTTACCGACTTTATAATTCCATCGAGAGGTCTGAGACAGGGGGACCCACTGTCCCCATATCTATTTCTTCTGTGTGCGGAAGGGTTGGCACATTTGTTATCCACGGCAGCTCAAAACCGTTTAATATCTCCTTGCATTGTGGCAAGAGGGGCACCCGGTATCTCTCACCTTTTCTTTGCCGACGACAGTCTGTTGTTCTTTAAAGCAACGTCTCAAGAAGCTAGTGCGATTAAGGATTGTCTTAGTTCTTATGAAGCTATGTCGGGACAATCGGTGAACTTTGGTAAATCTTGTGTGCTCTTTAGTCGTAATACACGAGGAGATCTTAGATATGCTATAACTTATGTCCTAAATGTTAATGCGGTTGATAATCTTGGAACCTATCTAGGTCTTCCCATGGGGATTGGGCGTAACAAGAAGCAAGTATTTTCATATATTGAGACTAAATTGAGACAGCGGTTAGGTGGGTGGCATAAAAGGATCCTTACACGGGCCGGGAAAGAAGTGTTGCTCAAAAGTGTTGCGCAGGCTCTTCCGACGTACACTATGAGTATTTACTACCTCCCATCTACATTTTGTGAACATCTGGAGCGAATCATGAATCAGTTCTGGTGGGAATCCCGTACTACTGGAGGGGGTGGGATTCGGTGGATGGCTTGGAGACGTATGTGTAAACCGAAAACAGCTGGTGGTTTGGGATTTAAACATCTTAATAGGTTTAATATTGCTTTACTGGCAAAGCAAGGGTGGCGGTTGCTAACTAATCCATTGTCTTTGGTGGCTCGAATTCTAAAGGCACGATATTATCCTCAAGGAGATTTTTTGAATGCTAATATCGGAGCCAATCCAAGCTATTGTTGGCGTTCTATACTGACAGGTCAAGATCTTCTGCGTAAGGGGTGTTTTAAAAGAATTGGTAATGGTGAGTCGACCTCTATTTGGCATCATCCCTGGCTTCCTGATAGGGAAGATCCGTATGTACATTCAGTTAGCACTATTCAGAATGACAACATTATGGTGAGTGCTTTAATTCACCCTGAGACGAAAGATTGGAATATTGAACTCCTAAATGATCTATTTGAGGACCGTGATGTAAACTTGATTCTTAAGCTACCAGTTGCAGTGCAGTTTGAGGACAGTTGGAGCTGGAGAGATGATATGAAGGGATTGTACTCAGTGAAACATGGTTACAGATTGCTGAATATGATGGAGGTGGCCATTCCAAACTCCACTGTATGGGGTTTGATTTGGAAGCTAAAGATTCCTCCAAAGGTTCAGAATTTTATTTGGCGTTGTATTCATGGAGTTTTGCCAACCATGGCGTCGCTTGCATCACGTCGGGTGAATGTTGATTTAAGCTGCCCTTTATGTGGTCTCCAACCGGAGACAATCCTGCATCTTATGGCTGATTGCAATCATGTGCAATCTCTATGGCAAAACGTGAACTGTCCTCTACCTAGTGAAGATGACGATTTTGCTGCATGGTTCTCAAGGTGTCTAACGTGTGGTGATAGTACTTTGGTGCTGAAATGTGTCCTCATTTGCTGGTGCATCTGGAAGGGCCGTAATGAATTGGTATGGAATAATAAAGTTTGGCAACCATCCTTAATACAAAATGAGGTGGCTAATACTTTTGTGGAATGGCAGGGAGAGGCAACTTTGGTAGAAAGTGAAGAAATGCATGGACAGAACATTAATACTTTACCAGGTGATAGTCCAGGTACTATGAATATTTATGTTGATGCCACGGTTTTTGGTGATACTGATGAAGCTTACTTTGGGGTCTTTGTGGTGGATAGTAATGGGGAATTCGTAGCAGCTAAAAATGGCCCAATCCGTTGTTTGAGTGATGCTCATTTAGCTGAACCTCTAGCGGTGAAGGAAGCTTTATCTTGGGTTAAGGAGTTGGGTCTCACAAAGGTAATCATCTATTCTGATTGCAAGAATGTTTGTAGGCTGCTAAATGGCACATCTCAGGATCTATCATATGCAGGTTGTGTTATTCGTGAGTGCCGATCTTTCCAACGACACTTTGATTTAGTGTCATTTCATTATGTTTCAAGATCAGTGAATAGGTTTGCTCATGCTTTGGCAAGAGCTACTCGTTCTCAGACTGGTTCTTCTTGTTGGTTGATTTCATTTCCTTCTTGTATTGAACATTTGCGTTAATGGAAGTTCCTTTGGTTTTCAAAAAAAAAAAAAAAAATCATCCTCCCAAAACAAGTTCTCAATCTCAATTAAATGTAATAACTCTAAATTAAATAAATTGAAGAAAATTTTATTATTTTCAAATTTTTTGGGTTTTGGGCTGAGCCAAGTTTTTATTCTTTAGTCTAGCCCAATCAAATTCACATTTTAATCAACCATTGATAAATGTAATAAGTCTAAATTAATGAAATTGATGAAAAAAACTTGAGTGTTTTTTAGTCTTTTGAACTATGAGTGGAGTCAAGTCAAGATTTTTAAAGTTCGATCCAGGTTAACTCGACTCAAATTTTTAACTGGACAAGCCCAACCTAATTCAATTAAGGCTAATTATTGTGTGGACCACGGTCCAAAACGACGTCGTTTTTACATAAAAATAAATCAGTTAGTTAATAACGGTATGATCTGTTCAACCGTTTATGTGTTAAAATAATGAATATTCTGGGAGTTAGAATAATGTACTTTAAGCTTTAAAATAGTGTACGTTGTGTTAAGAATAACAAACCTTCTAGGATAAGATAATATATTTTATGAGTTATAATAATGTACTTTATTTGTTATAATAATATACTTTATGTTAGAATAATGAACATATGAGGTAAGATAATGTATTTTTTGAGTTAGAATAATGTACTTTATGCTTTAGAATAATGTGCTTTATGAGTTATAAAAATGTATGTAGCAACAGTGAAGAGGAAAATGCAAGTCGTGTAAGAAAAAAAATTTGCACGACCTAACTGCGTCGTCTCCTCATGTTTTTGGATCATGGTCCACACAGTTGTGTGGATCACAGTCCACACAATAATGATTGTTCAAATAATAACCAGACAGTTGGCAAGCTAACTCAAATGGGGGGGGGGGTGAGAGAGAGAGAGAGTGAGAGAGAGAATTAAGCCTGAGGTATGGATCCAAAAATTGTCTTCCAAATAAAGATCTCAGTAGATATTTTCAATCAAAATGGGTCATTTTTCGTTAGAACAGAATGAGTATTTTTTGTTAACTTTATTTTCCATTGATAACGAAATACTGAAAATTTAAAGAAAATAACTTTCAAAAGTTATTTTCTTGATTTCCAAACATACCCATCATATCACAAATAAAACAAAAATGATAATATATTTATATTTTTTAATTTTAAAATAACAATTGTAAAATAAAAGGACGTGAATTTTAACCATCAAATCATCCTCCCAAACCAAGTTCTTAATCTCCCAAACCTGAGCTAAGAAGTTGTGACAAATGCACCAACGTAGCCAAATCCTATGACTAAGAATGACAATCCTTGGAGAAACAAATATACAAAATAATAGTTGTCTCCAAAACAAAAGTTGTACCACCCACAAAAGAGGAGGTAGAATCCAACAATGATCTCCAACAAATGCAACCTATACATCCAAAAAAAAATAATCAATTCCAAATCATTATTAAGAATTAAAATTCACTTTTATTACGCAGGTTATAGACCTTTTTGCACGCACACGTAATTAAATTGGTTCTTGAGTGACAAATTGTGAATAAGAACGCAAGATAGAGTCTATTCAGCCGCAATGTGAGAGTCACACTCAATGTGAGAGGCACAAATTAAAGCATTGATTTTTCTATCTTTTTTTGAATGCTACTAGCTCTATTACATTGTAGTATCTGTTCCATTGATTTTTCTATCTAATAGGCCACTAAATCATCGTAATTTACCACCGGACAAATCGTGTCGGGCTAGAGTGTGAAAGTCCCGATAAGAATTTTCACTTTTTGTGGACAAGATTATAGACATATTTTTTACTTTTAATAATCGATTAACTATTAATTCCATTATTTTTATAAAACAAAAAGTATACCTTTCTCCAATTCTAAAACGAGGAAGCTTCTTTAAAGCTTTAGACCCCGTTTTAGCCTTGAGGGCATTGCCAAGCTTCTCGGTGATAACCCATTCGTGGACTCTCCCGACTTCAAGAAGGCCGATGAACGTTGCAATAGTCCGGTGAAGGGACATAACATTCTCAAAAAGCATCCATAAAACCACCAAATGGAATGATCTAAAAATCAGCAAAAACAAACACAAGATTGTATGTTTAAGAAAATCTTCAATTCATTCAGAAAAGAACCCAAAAAAAAAAAACAAATTAAGGTTTACCTGGGGGTGGGAAGAACACTGAGAATAGCCACAGTTAAAGGGACGTAAACAGCTCCCCAAATGGGAACTTGGACTTGTGGGATCAAAACAGTTGCGGGCAAAACAAGGCAGTTATGGCCTATGTAGCAACCTTTCTCATTATATAGTTTCATTTTGTATACACTGTAGTCTCATTACAACATCACTACAATATCCTTCTAATTCAACTACAGTTTTATTTGATAACGTAATATTAAAAAAAAAAAAAAAAAAAAAAAAAAAAAAAAAAAACCTCAACATACTGCAGAACGTAACAAACGTAACGACTACTGTTTTGGCCATGATGCATGTGGACCATGGTCCATTGTATAATGATCGAATGATTTAGCAATCATTATACCATGGACCATGATCTACCTTACAAGATGGGCCATTGACATAAGACTCATTATTAGTATACTAGAAGTTTATTATTTAGGTGTACAACCAAAAAATAAACATTTAGTACATTAAAGATGAACATTATGTATATTCAAAATTAAACATTTATTTGTGGTCCACATTGCAATGTGAACCATGGTCCATAATATAATTTGCCATGATTTAGTTGTGGTGCGCAAATTATACAACAGGCCAAGGTCCACGATGGTTCACCTTGCATTGTGAATGTCCAAACGGCATTCAGATTATATCCCTAACATTTTTAATCTGTTAACTACATAATATGTTAATTGTTATAAGTGCATAATTTATTAACTACTGCAAGTACATAATCCGGATAGAGTCCACAATAGCTGCAGTGTTTAGTGTTTAGTGTTTAGTGTTTACCTTGACATCACCAAGAAACACAAATTTCCAGCCTTTAATACCAGCTCGGCAACCCAGATCCATGTCTTCCACTGTCGTACGCTCTTTCCATCCTCCTGCATCATTCAATGCTGCTATTCTCCATACACCTGCTGTTCCTGCATCATTGTATTTTTTTTTTCTTTTTTATTTTTGCATATTATCTTATAAATTTATATACGTTTGTAATTTTGATTAATAAATTCATGCCTCATTAATCGAACCCGACATATAAAATGGGACGGAAAGAGTACCATTAAAACCAAAAAATGCATGGACTGCAGACCCAACTTCTTGCTCCACTGTGAAATGGTAATCCATTGACATTTCTTGCATTCTTGTTAACATGCACTCGTCAGAGTTGACTGCACCCATTGCAATTTATAAACACAATTTGTTAGAAATATTAATAAATATTTCCACACGAACTCTCATGTTAATAATATGACAACGGAAGACACTGATATTTTATAATAAAAAAGTATTTTGAATAGGAGTAATCAAAAAGTGTTTTAAAAAGTTATCACCCAAACAATGTGTATGATTTTTATTCTCGTTCCTTATGTCTAACCCATGAACCAAATACACCCAGTATGTACGTACACATATACATACGTACCAAATTTCCAGCTAGCTTGAACGAGGGCGAGGTTAGGATTATGTACGAGGTAAGGGATGGTGCGGTACAAAAAGTCGGGGTCCGGTTGGAAATCAGCATCAAAGATGACAACATATTCACACAGCTTTACATAGTTGTGCGTCATTCCTTCCTTGAGAGCTCCTGCTTTGAATCCTTTTCTGTTCTCTCTACTCTCACACTTTATGTTCACTCCTTTCCCTACCCATCTCCTGCACTCTTCTTGGACCAATTCCTGTATATTTATTATTTATTACCAAAATTAAAACATATATTAGAGAGAAATAATATGCATTATTAGTATTCCAATTTATGAAGGCAAGAATCTAAAATTAAAGTTCATTTTACAGCCATTAATTAATCGTATAGTACTGGAAAACTCAAATGACCCATTTGATTCAAGGGGAAAAATTTCATGAAGAATGAAATTTAAATTTAAAGAAAAATAAAAATAAATTTCATATACCATTATTTATTTGGTTGGAGGGAAGAAATTACTATAAATAGTTAGTATAAAAACTCAAATAATGTTACGATGGACAGAAGAAGTGAATAGAAATTTACAATAATTATATTTTTGAGTAATGGTATGTACCTTGATTGTAGGATCACTTGAATCATCAAGAACTTGAATTATAATTCGATCCGCCGGCCATGAAAGGCTGCAGGCAGCTCCAATGGACAGTTGATATACCTACATACATATATAAACACGAGAAAAAATAAAGAAAATATTTGGTAGTCGAGAGATAAAAAAACCCTTTCATCTCTGTTTGTAAAAAGATAGATAGATATATGTTGGGTGAAGGCCAGTAAAGGGTCAAGTTCAGTAAGTAGTGGCTAGGAAAATTGTTGGGTGGAAATGGGTGAAAAGGTCAAGTCTAGTACCTTGCTTCTAAAAAATGTGATGGTGGTATATAATGAAATAAAATTGCGTCATCGTTGTGTGTTTTAGCTTTGGGCGTAGTAGTAAGCGCTTGATCTAAAAAGTGGTATCAGAGTCAGGTTGGCAGGTGCAATTATTGGGCAAAGCCCGGTGGTAACAGGTCAAATTCAACAACGGGTGGCTAGGGGATTGTTGGGCAAAGGTCGGTGAAGTGCCTTGCATATGCTGTGAGTTATAACTTTTGGCATAATGTTAAGCGTTTGATCCTAAAAATATTAGTGAAGTAAAAATCAACCTAGGCGGGTTGCCTAGGCGCTAGACGACCCTAGGCCAAGGCGAAAAGAGGTATAGGCTGTTGCTAGTGGTCGGTCGTCTAGGCGACCGAGTCCATCGGAAATTTTTTTTAATTGATTTTTCCACTCAAAACGACGTCATTTTGAGTGAAAAATGTATATTTTTTTAATTAGGTGACAGCCTAAGCACCCTCAACAACCGATTAGCGCTTAGCGCTTTCAGCAACATTGAAAAATTATTATGAAGTTAGAGAATATATGAGTTACTATACCTTCTTCTCATTGCACATTGGGAGTTGAACTAGAACCATGGGGTAAGCCGAGTCCCCAAGCTCTAAATCATTTTCCTTCTTCATAGCCTCCCACTTGTACCGCTTCTCCGGCCTTCGCCGGAAAAGTTTCAGGTAAGCAACCACCGCGCCCAAGTAGAGTTTCTCCGCCAGCGTCATGATCAACATTGCCAAGCATGCCCACACCATAGCTCTTAGCAATGGCACCATTAACACTGCCTTTGCTTGCTCCCACACCACCCCAGCGCCATCTGGGAGTATTATTGTTTTTGCAGAGGAATTGCTGTCCATTTTCTCAGGTTCTGTCTCCGGCAACCTTAGCCTTGTCGCTGCAAATTTATATATACCTGAACATGGCCGGGGACTAGTACTTGTTCTAAAATCAACTTAGTGAGGTTTAATTATATAAACCCAGAAATACCCGGTCGTGTTTTGTTGTTGCTGTTATTATTATTATTTTTTTGAATTTTTAATTATTTCTTTCTTTTTTGTCGGTGTGTATATAAAAATTCTTTCATTGTCATAATTGTGGTTTAGTTGGTTGGGGTTTGGACTTATTGAATGACGTGTTATTGGTCCTAATTTGTTCATTTGAATAAATTTATTAGCTCATGATCTAGGGTTATAAATTGTGCCCCTAGTGGTATAGATATAGTATTACCAAATTTCATAATTAATTGGGAGAAGAAATTTCATAATTAGTAGCCGTTCCGAGTTTATAATTAACATCAGAGTTAATTCCACCAAAGGTTCCTTATGTCTCTTATCTTTGGTGCCAATTTCAAATTTAGTCCCAGACTATTGTTTTAGCCATTTAACATCTTAGACTATTAGTTTTTGGACACTTTAGTCATTCTCATGACTTTTCCTATTTTTAGTAAGGGCATTTCTGTTTATTTATATTTTTTGTTTGTTATTTTTCTGGTTTCAACTGGTTTAATTGGTTTAAGATTTTATTGAAAATCAGAGGTTACCTAAAGTTCTAAACCAATTAAATCGGTTGAAACTGATAAAATAACGAAAGAAAAATATGAATAGACAAAAATGCCGTTACTAAAAATAGGAAAATTAAAGTCATGAGAATGACTAAAAGTGTCCAAAAATTAATAGTCTGGGATGTTAAATGACAAAAACGATAGTCTAAGACTAAATTTAGAATTGCCACCAAAAATAAGAAGTCTCTGGTGGAGTTAACTCTTAAGATCAGAACATATCATACTTGTGTAATAATAGAGTTTGAGAGTATTATAATGTGAGACTAAATGATACATTTAGACCATTAAGAGATCAAATTTGCTCAAAATAAAAGTTACTGACTAAATTCCATACAGGACAAAAGGACCATAATATACCCCAAAAACTATAAATAAAAATTACAAAAGCCAACAAGGTCTTTTACCAAACTCATGTTGAAAAAATTAGTAAAAATTTTATATTAAAAGTGATACGTAATTTTGAGTGGAGTCCACTTCCAATTTGGAATCAAAGTAAATTTAGATTATCCTAATATTGAGAGATTGAATTTGATATACATGCTTTTAAAATGGATTATAGGTGGAATGAGAAAATTGGTTCTCAAAATGTACGCACACATTGAGTTGGAAACAATGATATGGTTCTCATTTTTTTTTTTTTTTTTTTTTTTTTTTTTGGGGTAAAGATGAGGGCCAAGCCCGGTGCCAGAGAACTAGATCCTTCCCATGACCGCACGAATTGTAACACCCCGTGTTACGATTTTCAAATCCGAATTAATTATGAAATTAATCCCGCTAATTAATATAATTAAAAGGGATATAAACAAATTATAATCCCCTTAATTAACTTAGGTGGTCCACAATGGATCGTGGACCCTTACCTGAACAAGGAAACTTTAACCCATAGGGAATAGGAGAGAGAGCGGGCCTTATTACTCAGGCCTTGAATAGGTTTCTCTTAGACATATAAATAGGAGATCAAGAAGCAAGTAGAACCCTCCCTCTCCCTTTCCCTCACACGAAATCACCCACAAGTACCCCAGCCAAGGAATTCCCCACCAACGAGCCTAGGAAGGACAATCGGAAGAAGAATCTTAGAGAAAGAGCCTTAGTAGCCAAAGATATCGATTAAAGCTAAGAGGTAACCCATGTCTCAACAAAACCTATTTTCCTCGTTGTATCTTATTCATTGGCTCCTTTGATATATGATTCTGTGCTTGAGTCTTGATAGAGCTTTGCCTAGGGTTTATATTGTGTTTATGTGATAACCTTGATGCATATGTGTTAATCTTGATGCTTATGTGATAATCTTGATGTCCTTGATACTATGATAAATTATATGAATGATCTTGTATTCTGATTATGTCTAGATCCATAGGGTGATAACGTGGATTTCGTATTATGTTATTCTTGGTATGTTTGGGTGGGATTTTGCATGATCGGGGGTTGAGCCTTGGCATGTTTAGGGATCATGTTAGGGTGTATTTGGTGTGATTCTTGGTCTAATTCCATTACTTGAATACGTGGTGTTGTCGTTTATGTGTGAATAGGTCTGGACATGGTTTCGGGTTCCACAAAGAGCCCCGGGACAAAAATATTACATATGAGTCAGTGGGGGTAGGTTGTGGCAGGGGTGCCCGCCACCTACCCGCTGCCCCTTATCTGGTTCCCAGCGGGCAGGCGACTGCCCGCCGGGCACCCGCTGGAAACTATGGCCGCCGCCGACGGGTGGTCCTCCACCCTCCCCCCACCTGCTGGAAGTTTGGTGGGTAATGTGATGTTTTCCCCCGTTTGTTGTTTCCCCGTGTCCCGTTGCACCCCATCGGTGTTCGAGAGTCTAGTTTGATGTATCGGGTACCGTTCTTAGGATAAAAGAGTCTTGTGTATTGCATGTTAATTGAATTGGTATCCCGTTGGCCTAGGAGGACGTTGTATGATCCCGTAGGAGTGTCGTGGGTGGGTTAATGTGGTTTGTTATGGATGAGTTATGTTGGGTTACGTGTTCCCCGATGATTCCCCCTCGTTATGTGTTAATGTGGGTTGTTTGTTGATTGACTTCTATGTTGTTGTGCGTGATAACCCAATTGGTTGCGATCAATTGGCTATAATGATTATTTGGTTGGTTGAGAACAACGAGGTATTAACCCAGCCTGTTGCGATCGGTTGGCTATATAGGCAGTTGGATTAGTTGAAAACAATCGGCTGTTATATATATTAATAGGGCTGCAGTCCATAGTCTGGTTGCGATCGGACATATATGATAATAGGGCTGCGGTCCATAGTTTGGTTGCGATCAAACATATATGATAATAATGAGCTGCGGTTCATTGATTGGTTGCGATCAATCGTTTGGTTCTTCCTTGTGCTGCGGTACAAGTTAAAGTGCTGTGGGGCCATGTCAGAGCTATATGCACTGACCCCTTGGCAATGGAACTCAAGGTTCGGGTCATATGAATGGTCCTGCAGTACCACCATATGTGTGTGCACCAATACGTGTCTTGTTGTTGATTTGTTTTAATAACTGGGTTTTGATATGGTTGGTATTGCGTAGTCTTGTGACCTTAGGATGCATGCTAGAATCTTTATGTTTAGTTGTATTGAATGTATCTGCTATTGCTTGATTGAGTCTGTTCTCGGATTTAAATTAGAGTTTCATAAGTATATATGTATTCCATTTTCAAAATGAGTTCCTTATATCTACCTATATTGTACTTAACGCGTTGGAGTGGGTTACCAGCATTATTCGCTGAACAGATATTATTTAGCTTTCAGGTATAGACGAGTAGTCTCGGAGCGCGCTAGTTGGATTCGTGGACTTAGTTAGATAGTTCTAGCATGGATGAGATGGCCTGCGTGCCTTGATTGGTGTTTGGGTATTAGCTATAGTTTATGCTTTGTTAGTTAAGTTTAGCATGTGGATATGAGTTCTCCAGCTCAGATGCGGCATAGTACCCCGACTACTATGTCTAGTTTATGCTCTGTTTGGGAATTAATAAGAGGTTAGCCTTTATTTTATAGGTTTTAAATATCTTGAAATTTTGGGGTGTTACACGAATTCTGGGAATGCCAACCGCATCCTCCATCAAAACTTCAACGACATATGCCGAGGGAGCAACCATCTCAGTCCAGCCAATGATTGGGTTGTTAACGTGTGTCGCCAATGCATCCGCCACCACATTATGCTCCCGAAGAATATATTGAAAATTCAAGATTGCAATCTCTAGTCTTCCACCACTTGCATCGCTCAATAACATTGCCATTGGACCTCTAGGATGATGATTTTCCCCGATCCAGTTTATAACCCTTCTTGAATCTCTTTGCACTAGCACCTTCCCGAATCCTTTCTTCCATGCCCATTCAATCCCACTAAGGATCACCCATCCTTTCGTAACATCTATTAAGAGTGAAGAAAGAGTGTATATATTTACAATGAATCACAGAAGAATACAAGATATAAATAGGGAGATGCCAGTAACAGCTCTAGACCAATTCTAGGAGAGAAAATATAACTACCTAGACTAAATCAATATAATAAAAAGCATACAAATATTATTCCTTAATACGCCCCCGTAAGATGGAGGACATCAGTTACACCAATCTTAGACCTGAATCGCTGAAAGAGTGCTCGACCCAATGGCTTAGTTAACACATTTGCAACTTGATCATGAGTAGAGACATGATGAACAAATAGAGACCTTGCAGCTACCATATCACGAACAAAGAAATAGTCTAAAGCAATGTGCTTCATTCTCGAGTGAAAAACCAAATTCTTACAGAAATAAGTCGCCCCAATATTATCACACAACAGAGATGGCGGTTCAAGTAAGTGAACCCCGGCTTTTTGTAAAAGATTCTGAACTCAAACAAGTTAAGCCCAGTAGCGTGCGAACGCCCGGTATTCCGCCTCCATTGAAGACCTAGACACCGTTTCGTGACGCGCAGACTTCCAAGAGATGACATTGCCCCCAAGATAAACAATATAAGCGGTTGTAGACCGCCCTTTGTCTCGTAAGTTACCCCAATCCGAATCAGAAAACACAACCAAGCGCAAATGTGCATTAAATTTCAATAATAAATCATGATGAACCGTACCTTTCAAATATCGGAGAACACGCTTCGCTCCTTGCCAATGTTGTGCAATTGGCGCATACATGGATTGAGCCAGTTTATTCACGACGTACACTACGTCTAGTCGGGTTATGGGGAGATATTGTAAGAGTCCAATTAAGCGACGATAATCAGTAGAATCAACCACCGAGCTAGACTCATCACACGATACATAGTCAACCGCCATAGGGGTAGATATGAATTTTGCACCCTCCATTTTGGATCAAATGAGAATATTAGCCAAGTAATTCCCTTGTGACAAAAAAA